GAATGAGAGTTTTGTATGCATGTGTATTAGTGTCCCTTTTGATGTGAATTATCAGCATAATACATTTGTTATTATTAGGGACTATTGTTTCTGGAAGTAGTTGCAATGAAAGCTCTGATTATCAAGAGTAAGATACTTTACTTGACATTTAATTTTATATCCATTTAATGATGTTCTGGTTTGATCTATTAAGTAATTATCTGTAATATAGGTCAGGAAATTGTGAAAATATTATTTTTTTATCAAGATTCAATATACAAAGAATAGAAAATGTTCAATTGTCATGACTAAAACAATCAATCTATTATCACAATTGTCAATAATTATTTGTTGAATTCATTGTTTATATACATGGCTAGATGTATACAGTGAGTTCAACCATGAGCAACTGTTTGCTAACAACAGTGTTTCCCATACATTGATTTATTTGTGGCGGGCCGCCACAATTAAATATCGTCCGCCACAAATGGATCTCACTAATGGATAGTGAGGTGGGCTGATGGTCGGAAGATTGCGAGTTCAAACCCCGCCTGGAACACCACTACTAGTGTGCCCTTGAGTAAGGCACTTAGCCCTCGGTTACTCCAGGGAGAATGTCCCTGTAATTGGTCATTGTGAGTTGCTTTGGAATAAGGTGTCTGCTAAATGCCTAAATTGTAAATTATATTTTTGGGAGAATAAACCCCACAGATTCTCCACTCCGGTGTGTCTCACTCATTAACAACGCAACACAGAGCAACAAGAACGTTGTCTACAGTAGACATGAACTCACATGTATTTTCTTATTTAAGGGGGGCTGGATGCGTGGGCCACCCGAATAGGTTAAGGGGCCTTTGGCTTTTCTTGCCGGGGGTTGGTGGCTGGTGCGGTGCGGTGCCCCCACAAATAGAATCAAATTATTTGGGAAACACTGAACAAGGTCAACTGATCAATTTAAAAGGTGATAATAAGTCAATGTTCACCTTTGTTTCTGATGACCCAGAGAACAAGTTATTGCAGGTATAAGTCCTGAGGTTGTTTAGTCAGGAGCGCTCCTAACTTTCTGATCCTGAAACAGATCAGAGGTGCAGCCATCAGCCGCTGAGCCTCCTTCCTCTTTTCTGGGCCAAACAGACGTCATGAAATGCAAACGGCAAACATTTCCCAGACTGCTTTGAGCTTAAGGATCTTAATAATTGCACCTGAATGTGGATAACAGCCTCTTTGAAAGTACCTAACACCTTCACAAAAACACGTAGAGCTTGTGTGTGGATGACAGAAAAACAAAACAGTCGGGTCTGTGGGAGAAAAACACTCCAGCGAGTCAAAAGAAAGGCTTTCGCTCCTGCAGCATTTTCTGTGATGTGACTTCATTTGAATGACAAAGAAACAAAAGGCTTTCTCAAAGCTTTGCATTCAATGCACCAACAAAAAAGATAAAGCTGCACAAAACGACGGAAAACAACATTAAGATGCAAACACTTTTTGTTATTCTGTACTGTGTTGTTATTCAGATAAGCACCAAACATTCGCAACTTTTTGACCAGCTACTCCCCTCTGTTCCCATGACCGAGTCGCCCTTTTCTGTGTGTGTTTGATACAGCGAGTGTGTGTTTGAGCGTGTTGTGCCAACAGAAAAGTCGACAGGGGCAGCAGTGGGACCAACTGTGGGAGGCAAGCAGAAGAGAATAAAAGAAAAGAGAAGAGAGCAAAGCCGACCGAGGGAAGAGAAGAAAGAGAGAATTCAAGCAGAAGTAAACTCTCCTCTCAGAAAGACTCTCTTATTGGTACTTCATTAGTCTTGACCTTGCATTTGACCCACAGCGAATGCAGCGGCAAGCCCACTGCTATGACACCGCCACTATGCAAGCGACACACACACACACACACACACACACACACACACACACACACACACACACACACACACACACACACACACACACACACACACACACACACACACACACACACACACACACACTACGACTACACACACACACACACACACACACACACACACACACACACACACACACACACACACACACACACACACACACACACACACACACACACACACACACACACACACACACACACACACACACACACACACACACACACACACTACACACACACACACACACACACACACACACACACACACACACACACACACACACACACACACACACACACACACACACACACACACACACACACACACACACACACACACACACACACACACACACACACACACACAGGAATGCTGCCTCTGTTATTGTCTTTAAGTGCCAAACTCAGGCCAAGGCCTCGCCAGGATACAGAAAACAAAATAGCAGCCGTGCAGAGCTCTCTCTCTCTCTCTCTCTCTCTCTCTCTCTCTCTCTCACACTCTCACACACACACACACCCAAAACACCACTTCCGTCCATTCTCCACACAGAGAAAGGAAGTTGAAGCTGGCCCGGCCCCAGTCGTCCAGACAGAGGTGGCCCTGGCAAACAGTCTCCTGCCTGCTTGCTTACCCTCCTTCTGAATGGCTTTAAAATACCCTCAGCCCTCACCATCCTTCTCTTCCTCTCTGTGTTGCATGTACAGTAAAGAGCCACTTCCAGTTTAAAAGAGTACTTGATGTAGTTTCCAGCCCTTCATTTCTTTAGTAAATTTGCTGCAAATGTGTTGCACTGCACATTTATTTATAATAATTATCTTGCACACATAAATGGAAATCAAAGATGTGAAAGCAGTTCATGTGATGTCACAACTTTAGGGGATATATCAATAAATATGTAATTTAATATTAACATATATCATGTTAGCTCTTGGCTGAAAAATCAAGCTTCCTCGTTGACAGTGGTTGAATAGTACTCAGACGTCCAGATATTAAGTAAATGAAGTTAGAAGATGACAAACAGAATCAGATAAATAATGCTTTCTTAACCTAAAGAATGATCCAATGCTACTTCAAGACCTCACAATTTAAATGTTATGTTTTTCCTTTAGAACCTAGGGGGAAAAAAGTACATATGGTTTGTTTAACTGTATTGCAAAGTACTTAAAATAAATACAGTGGAGAGAAAAGTATAATATTTCCCTGTGAAATATATGGATGGAATGAATCAAGTGAGGTACAAGTATCTAAAAATTGTACAAGAGTAATGCATAATGCAGATGTAATGTAGCACAAGCTTCCCAAAGTTAAACATAGCTACCACCCAGATAGTCCGTTCTGGGCCAGCGTCGGCTGACAGCCGGTCAGATGATCTGTGTGTGCCCTAAAATTGGCCCAGATGTGGAAATTGCATACCAACAATTTTGGTAGTACAGCTTTTACTGGGACAATCATTTTCATATAGCTTATGACCCAATCCAACTGTCTCTTATTTACATATGAAACAGATGATAGTGACCTTATGATGAACATGCCACTTAACATTTCATTCTATTTGTGCCACAGCCTCCGCCAAATGAACAAGTGCAGTTCTATATTAGTAAGCATATTGTGACTATAGGAAAGCTGGCAGTTTTTGAAAATATCTGGGGGAGCTTCATGGAGTTTTTGAATAAGAAGTTTGGTAATGACCAATAAAACCAAAGAAATAAAAAAATGTAAACAAAGTAAGCGTATTGTGGCAAATATACACAGGGCCGCCCCTGGCCAACTTGGGGACCCAAGCGACATTGTGAGATGAGGCCCTCCCCCCCCAAAGTAGGCTACTTTGCAAATATAATTCCTGTTTATTATTATTATCAACACAGTTACTTTTTTATACGGTGAGGTAAATGGTAAATGTGCATGTTAGCGTCGTCAGTGTTGCGTTTACAGGTGAATACGTCTGCATTTCCTGCCAAATACGTAGCCTCAAAAGATTAAAATATAATTAATGCAAATAAACACTACTAATAATCATAATCAATTCAATAATATAAATACTATATTATTTTATTATAATATAGTTGTAATATAGTCAAGACAAAACATGCTTATGACATGCTCAAAAACTGAATATACATGAACAACTATTATCCCTCAGTATATTTCTTTATATTGTCCAACCCAGCCTCCGAACCTTTTATTTTCCTTCCTCTACTGATGTACAGCTACAGAAAGCACCAACATCAGCAACATCATACACATCTGTCTACTTGTTGAGATATCCATCATCATCACTGTCACCAGACTGGATCTGCTAATGCCAGCACACATGTAGGACATCTCATTATGCTGAGTTATATATGTGCGTGCTGTCCCTTTCAAACACACTTGTCAAACAAACAGAAAGGCTATTCAGCACAAGCTCAACATTACGCGATACAAGCACAACATGTGGACCGATGCATCTAAATAAGAGGCTTGTTTTCAGCTGCTGTACATTGGTAACAATAAAATAAAACTACAAGCAGTGTGACAGGATCAGGGAGAGAAGGACAGGAAATAAGGTTTTGCATTTTCCCCGTGAAGTCAGGTACAAACTTAGCCAACCACAGGAGAAAAGCAGAGATTATATCCAGTGGCAGGTGCTCTGTATCGTATTCTGGAAAAGCTTCACAAGTACGTCGGTACGCAAATGCGCTTTGTGACACAAGTGACGGTACTCATTTCAGATTGTTGCCGCGCATGCGTTCCTGCGTACCACTTATGTGCACCCCTGTGTATATATATATATATATATATATATATATTATATACTGTAAATTCATATTCCTCTGTATATTATGCACATCTCTGTTCAAATGTTGTGCTTCTACTGTGACATGTCACTAGCCAATAAACGTGTGAGTGTTTCGTGGTGATGTCACTCTGTTCTGGAAGAAAGAGAGAACAATGGAGGTGTTTCAGTCGGGGGGGGGGGAGAGATACTCCCTTTGGAGGGAACTTTAGGATTTTAGCCTTAGTAGACCATTTACATGCACCAAAACCCCAAGAAGCATAATAGGGCCCCTTTAACCCTTTACACAGTATCTTCATCATTAGAGGAGTGTGATTGACAGTGAGGTGTTGAACCTCTTACCTTTGGCCATTTGGGGTTGATAAGACGAGCTTTGATGGCGTCATCCAGAGCGGTGCTGTACTCTCCCAGTCTGAGGTAGGCAGCGGAGCGGTTGCTGAATAGGATGCAGTTCTGGGGGTCCGCGGTGAGTGCCTCGCTGTAGAGCTGCACAGCCAGAGCATATTCTCCCTGCTGGCAGGCCTGGTTACTGCGCCGCACACGGTCCAGGAACTCTGCTTTACTGAGGCCAGGAGGAGGAGGAGGAACGGGGGGGACGGGCAGTCGGTCCCTTTTCACCGGCGAGGCTGAAGGAATGACAGGAGAGGAAGAGGAGGAGGAGGAAGAGGGAGGGTTGGTGGTCCTGCTGGTGGAGCGAGAACCAAACAGAGAGAACTGGGAGTAGGGGAAGTGGGCAGGGCAAGAGAGAGAGAAGACATTGGTTAATTTTCACAATTATCCCATTAGATAGACAACCAGCAGAAAGTATTGTCACATTTAAATAAATGTAAAATTCTTAATATTCGATGGTTCCAGCTTTTCGAACTTGGAGATTTGCTGCTTTTCCCTGCAGTTGTATCACTGTAAAAGGGAAAGCTTGGTCCTTGGACTGTTGGTTAGATATAACATGACATTTGAGTCCTTCACTTTGGACTTTGGGAAGCTGTGACAGGCATTTTTACTATTACTTTTGACCTTTTTTTTTGTTTTTTAAATTGTACTTTCCATAGACTACGCAATAAGTCCTTTAATAAAGAACATAACCTGTAAATTATTCCATAATTTAAAACCTCTAATTTGTCTATTTACAACAAAAAGACCAACAATAAAACAGTAAGTGGTTTATAAATAGACGAATGTTCTTCAGCAGGGTATGTAGTGATTACCAATAAATAAATAGTATGAATTATGAATTAGGCTGATATTAGAGCAGTTATATTAATATCAGTGTATTTGCAGGACAACAAATAACAAGCACCTGCCGGTATATCGGTCTGGTCACACTGGTTTAGAGGCCGATGTAAAGACTGACTAATGAGAAAGGCTTTTTGCTCAGTGTTGTAGAAACAAAAATAAGTTTAGAAACACAACACGAAAAAATGCCTTTCGCTGCTGTTACACATAGACACGCAGTATGACTCCGAAACTGCTGCAGCTTCATTAGCATGATATCATGTACTTTCTGGCAGATGGGACGCCAAACAGCTGGGTGCACTTTTTCGTTTCTACTCGGTGGTAACGGCTAAATTCCTCAGAGACGAAAAAGTAGGGAAGTCAGACGGAGGCTCAGACAGAACGAGGAGGCTTCTGTTCTTCTCATTCAAACTTTGTTTTAAATGTGCTCACTGAGGTTTGATCTTGAGACGCTGCCTCCCTCCCCGATCTGGTGTTTCCAAATTTGTCCTTTCACCAGAGCTTACACCAAGGCCTTCATTATCTCTCTCTCTATTCCCCTCACACACACACACACAACTAAAATATGCAGACTGGAGGGATTCCTAAAACTTACAAAAGCATCATCCATGGCTCAGAGCAACAGCCAAGGTAAGGCAATACATAGTTTGGAGATACTGTTCCCTATACATCAGTGCTCTGTATGAATGAGTTTTCTGGAGCAAACATCACACTTGGCATCAAACTTCTCCAGTTTGGCTCAGCAACTCTTTTATCCTGTAAGAGAAAGATTAATTTATTGAGGTTTTGAGCACTCCAAGACCTGAACAACTTCTCTACTCACTGTTTAGTTGATGGCATTTCTAATTAAGTGTTCCACTGACAGATGGCGATGTGATTAACTTGGAAACAATCAAGGGCCAGAAAGTAAAAAGCAAGATTTAAGTCTTGACTGTACACGGTTCTCTGAGCTCTGGTTCATAGTGAACTGATGAAATCCTGACATTTCAATTAAGAGTCCAGGATTTTAGAAACACAGCAGAATTTTACTTTATCTCCGGTAGAATTCTGATCAGGCATTAGCTCCGCCTCCTCTTTTTTTTTTTTTAAGCTAAGGACCCAAAATCCGTGTTTCTCTAACAGGGCTGCAAAAGAGGGGTATGAGCAGTAGGAGGCATGGCGACAATGGGTGAACTGTTTGGTATTTTAAGCAAAAAGCTTCACAGACATGTTTTGTATAGGTATGGCCATACAATATATTTTTAAAATATAGCATAATAGGTCCACTTTAAAGCATGTAAACAAGTCAAAGTAGAGGCACAAAATACATATCATGAACCTGAAAATGAGCATGATATGTCCTCTTTAAAAATATGAATAAATGTAGAATGATAATGTTATGCTTGATGTATTTTAATTAGATAAATGTGTTTTATTTGGCTCCCTTCTATGAGGTCTGCTGGTAACAGAAATACCCTAAAAGCTTTAGGAAAATAGTGTATCACAATGATCACTTACTACTGAGATAACGCTATCAGTCACACATCATTGAGAAATGTTGAGTGCTCACAAATTAAACCACATGCACAAGAGGTACTAAACTAAAGTGTTAGCTCTGCCGCTGTAGTGCTCTTACTGTAGGTGAAACCAGTTTTTTGGCACCAACATGATGATGGTATCCTCCTTAAATGTAATGGACTACAAGTGGTTCCATTTTGAATTCTGTGCCATGCATCGCTATTTCTCTGTATTATTGATATTTTATGGGTTATTTATTTTAGGTCCTTGCCAAAAACTACATTTTATAAAACTCTTTTAAGCACACCATGATAAGATATATCTTGCCTAATGCCATCTTTACTAATTAAAGCTGTTACACACCGTATTGCAATTTAATAATATACGTCCATCCATCTAGAGTACGCTGGAAAAAAGGTTTATGCAGAATATTACCTTGAAATAAAGATTCCTGCTTACTGTAATACTCCATTAAATCAGTCAGTCATTCGCTGGAGATCTTCTAATCAAATGTTTTAGTGCCGCAAGAGATTACTATAACAGTAAACTTAAAAATTCCTGTTCAACTACATTAAAACAGTATGGTACATATAGAATATTTGGCAAGTTAAACATTGAATTACTTTAAGAAGTTGCAGACACTGAAGCAAATCAAAGTTGACAGCAAGCTGAGGGCTTCTTCCCAGAACTCATCCGAGAAGGTAATCTGCAGTTATTAACCTAATCAGCTCTGATCTTGGTTGTGATAGACTCATCCGCTGGAGATAAGACGTTTTTAAAGTAGGAGATACAGCTCTTAGCTACGGTGTGGGCCTTCAAGCTCTATACACTCTTTGGGGGGTTGGGTTTTGGGCAATTCTGGGGACTGGGTTCTATCAAAATGTTGAGGCTCAAAATACATTTAAAGAAAAATGAAAAACGGAGCAGTCTATACCAAAAGATACATGCATTTGTTTAAAGCTGGCAACCAGGACATTTCAAATGTTTCAACTAAAATAATCTGAGTCAACAACGCCATTTCCATCTTCTCATATTGTAAATATGTGAAGGATTTGCCAAAGAAATATAGTTATCTTGTTTGCATCCACTTCTGGAACAAGTGTTGCTGAAAGACTCAAAAAACATTTAAACGAAGAAAAATATATCAAAACCCAAAACAGGTCTGAATAAAATACTAAGGGAGCAAATGTTCAGTATGGAAGCTATAATTAAAGAATGTTCTGACATTTTACAGAGATGTCAAGCACCAAATCTGATCACCAATCTACCACAAATTAAACAGCATCACAACAGCATCACAACATTTGTTTGGGTGTTTTTCTACAAACAAAAGCTGTTATCAAATGTATTTTTTGCTTTGTCCAAATATGACATCTGCAATTTTTGAACAACTGCTGTTGGCCTCCCTAGTTAGCCTGAAGTGACCGACACACACAAGCTGTTGGAGCGGGCAGCTTCACACAATTGCACTTTGTGTAAACAGAACAAGAGGGACAGAGCTGCAATCGGAGTAAGAATAGCCTCTGTATATCACTTGTCCATCAGAGCCAAGACTTTTTCTATCACAATCGAAAATCGTTTTTCTTTGTTTAGAACAAAAGGCATTAATTCCTGCTAATTGTCTTGTGTGCCTCTGCAAACAAAGAGACATTAACCTGAGCAATGTAACAAGATTGGAAAAGAAGACATGGTATCTGCAGACATGTTCACAGAATCGTAGTAATTGTTACGTGATTCTAATGTGCGAGTGTTAGATTTATTTCTATTAAGTCATATTACTGTAAATGAGATGGGCAAATGAAGTGGATGTAAATCTCTGACCCCAATCATGGTGAAATTAACACCTATTGGCCCTTTATATGTTATCTGAATGCATCTGAACTTATGAAAACTAATACTGGAAAGTATACCATATAGCATTTTCCATGAGCAGATATGGTACCAATAAATCCTTTTTATTACAATCATCCCAAGTTTTCTAAAATGAGCGTTCTATGTGGCAAAAAAATATCAAGCATACAATTTGTCTCGGGCCAATAACAAACTTTCTGTCAGGACCTCGACACAAACTGATGAACCCAAATGCACGACCCAGAGACAAAGTCTTGAATGTAACAAAGAGTATATTTATTGTCACAGGTCAGGTAATCCCTCTTATCAAGTAGGTAGTGGAAATAACAAAAAGCGCTCACAAGGAGGAAAAAACTAAGCGACTTAATAAAAACGTAAGCCTACAAAATAAACAAAATAACAAAACCTGACATGAGAGAAAAGCAATTCTTTCTGAGCTGAGGCTTGGCACGACCATTCGGGGAAACAAACAAGATGAACTGACACAGAACAGGGAAAGACAGGACTATTTAACCATGAGGTGCGTGGGAACAGGTGGAAACAATCAAGGGCGGGGCAGACACTGATGATGGCGGGAAAAACACACAAGGGGACGTAAGTACAAAATAAAACAGGAAATGACAGACATAATATAATACATAAACATAACTAACACATTTGACGAGACAAAAAACTTTTTTCTTATTTGCCGCATGCTTCATAAGGTCCTCTTACCTTATTGAAAAAAAGACATGAGGTCGAAAAAATGTATCCAAATCTGGAATAAAAACAAATAACTTTTACCTAAAATGTATTATAAGTGTGGGGGAAACTTCTGTAGCAATGGAGAGTCAGGAGGACTCAGAGAGACACGAGGAGAGCTGGAGGTTTGATGTCAAACACTGATGGTTTATTTGGAGTTTCAGCCGGAGAGTTGACAAGACAGGTGGTGTGTCACGAGTTGACACAGCGGTTGCCAAACCAATTCTGAAGAACCCCTTCTGTAGCTCAAGGTTTTAACTAGTTCGGAGTGTAATAATCAACATTCTTCATCAGTGAGACTAAACATTATGGACCCTGAATCTAACTAGAGCTCTCGTCCATAGAAAAGAATGTGCGCCAGGGAACCTTCGTCCCTGAACAGTACACTACCT